CTGGTCCCCCTCCACTGCACATTTTTTAAGCCTGGAAATGGTACCTCCCCATCCTGGCTTGTAACCTGCGATGGACGTTTCCTCCAGAAATTGGTCCAATCTCCTTTTCAAGGCATCTAGGCCTTTCCCCACCGCCCCTTCTTGAACAGATCCACTTTCCAAGGAGTTATGCAATGTTCCTACTTTAATAAAGTGATTAGAGATTAGCAAGTCTTAAAGGGAATCAGGGCAAAACCACATTAGTCTGTTCCCCCCCCCCCCAGTTTCTGTCCATTTCTGAGAGTCCATGGAGGGTGTGGGAGGAAAGGGTTGCCTCCAATCCTACTGAAGTCCTCTCATCTCCAACAGAAGAAGTCTTAAACTTCAGGGCCAGCTCCACCACCAGGCAAGGGGATGGAGCTGCCGGGGACAACAGATCCGTAGTGTCATCAAACGAGACCGTCCTAGGATGTGATTAGATGGACATTTGTCCTGCTGTTGGTGCTGGACTTTCCCAGTATTCTGATGGTTTTCCCCCCCCTGTGAATTACACAATATAAACCTAACTATGAGCAGACCTATTCTTTTTCCATAAATTTTTGCCACATCTTCTTTTACCAGCAGAGCTTTTTGCTTGTTTGTTTCTTTGCATTGTTTTGTTTCACTTTCTGGATTGCGTGATAGCCTATATTGGCCCTTTGGAGCAGTGTCTGGGCACCTCGTGATCACACGGAAGTCTTCAGGCTAAGACTGACACCTCTTAATATTTTTAATCAATTATTTTAATTATAAAAAGTTGCCAGTTTGGGGCTATGTCAGAAAAGCGATGCAGCTGTAATTCAGAAGTGTCAGTGCGGCGCTATGTCACTTTGTAGACTGAACAACAATAAAAAAAGAGGGAGCTGGGAAGGATAATGCCAGGAGGGTGTGATGTACTACAAGGATAAACGCATTTGATTTTCTGCTGTGACACTTACAAAGAGTCCTTAAACAAGTCCAGAGTACATAAACATGTCCAGAGAATAACAACAATTGTTGCTGCTGGCATAAAGTGCCAAGTTGCGTTATAAAAACGACACGACAACACAGGACAACCTTCTGTCTAATGGCTCCCTCATTTACTTTGCTGTTCTTGTACAGTGGTGCCTCGATAACGGGTGCCCTGTTTAACGACAAATCCGCATAGCGATGAAGATTTTGCGATCGCAAAAGCGATCGCTTTGCAATGATTTAAATAGGAAAAAATTGCTTTGCGATGATCGGTTCGCTGTTTCGCTTAACAATTATTGAATAGCAATGATTTTCCAACAGCTGATTGGCAGTTCCAAAATGGCCACCAGGTAAAAAAAATGGCCACCCGCTGTGTTTTTGCCTGGATTCCTCGCTTACCGGGCAGCGAAAATGGCCGCCGTATGGAGGATTTTCACTTAAAAGTGAGTTTTAAGCCCATAGGAATGCACTGAAGGGGTTTCAATGCATTCCTGTGGGCTTTTTAAAACCGCATAGCGATGAAATCTCCTTGCAACTATTTTTGCTGCACAGATTATCGTCGCTATGCGGGGCATCACTGTATTTGCACTGTCACAAGGAGAGTCACCTCTGGAGATTTCTGCCTCAACAGGCACCAAAACAACTTGTCCCGCCTTGCAAGTCAGGTGCCCTTTCCTGCTCTGCCTTGGGCAGGAATCATCTCAGCTGGTCCCCTGCTTCAAGAGAAGAACCACAAAGTTGCAAGATCATCTCAATAACCATATAAGCTGCAAACAGCATCTGTTCTGCTGCACCCACTCTTCTACATGGAATAGTGCCGAGACACATAATCAGAGGGGTCTGATCCAGTTTTGGAAATGTGACCTTTTTTAAAGTAAGATTGATTGGATCCTTTTGGGGAGAAAAGCGGCATAGAAATATTTTAAGTAAAGAAGTAAGTTGGGGGGGTCATTATTACCCATTTATCCAGCATGCCTATTAGCATTCCCTTATGTCCTAAAGGCACATTTATCAACTTTGATTAGATTCTTTTATTTTCTCTCTTATTCTATCTCTCGTTGCAGCTTCCTGAAACAAGAAATATACTTCCTCCACTTTTTCTTTTACTATGGGAATCCAATGCAGTTATTTCCATTTCAGAGCCATAAAACACTAAATATTCGAATTACTTATCAGGAGACACCCCCAAATTTAGCATCTTCTCCTTTTTTCCCCTCTGATAAGCCACATACATACACAACATGGAAAAGAGAGAAATTTTGTTTTCCACAATTCCAGAGGAAACAACCCAAGCCAGTGGATTCACATTACAAGATACTGAGATTCTAACTCAATATTATGAAGAACTTCCTGATGGCAAAAGTGGGTTGGAAGTAGAATGGCCAACCAATCAAAAGGAGGGTAACCAGGGCCCTGAATTGGATGCTTTTAAAGTTGGATGACCACCAGTCAAGACTTTCCTGCATTGGCAGAGAATTGGACTGCCGTATTTTTCGCACCATAAGACGCACTTTTTTCCCCACAAAATAGGGGGGTGGAAAGTCTGTGCGTCTTATGGAGCGAAGAATACAGATTATATTTTCCTGTTTTCTTCTCCTAAAAAAATTGGTGCGTCTTATGGAAAGGTGCATCTTATGGCGCGAAAAATACGGTAACTTCCCTTGGAGGTAGCTTCCAACTTCTATAATTCTTTGATTCCATGAACGTATTCAAACTAAAGAGTTGTAGCAGGTTGAAGCCCCTTTAAGTACCGTGTCGCCTTCCTATATTCATACTTTAGTGAAAGAGTTAGAGCAGTGGTTCCCAACCTTGGGTTCCTTGACATTCTTGCACTGCAACTCCCAGAAATCCTGATCAGCACATCGAGCGGTAAAGGCTTCCGGGAGTTGCAGGCCATTTGGGGACCCAAGGTTGGGAACAACCGGCTTAGAGAGTTTTCTGCGGGAACCCTTTCGTTCGCTTCCCTAGACTAGAGTGGAGAAGTCTTAAATCCCTCCCCCTCAAAGGAGAAGCCCCAGCATTCCAGAGGATGGCACGATGGCAGGGAATGGGGTACAAGGTGCTGTCAGTGTGCAAGAAGTAAAACTTGACAGGGGACGCAGGAGCCCAGGGGGTGGGGGGAGCCTTTCCTTCCTGGAGGCCAATGCTAGTGATGCCAAGAGGCTGGAGGTGGCTCCCTTTGTGCCCTCTTCGATGATGACACAAAGGGGGGGGGAGCTGTGAAGGAGGGCAGGAGTGAGGCAAGGCAGCCCAAGGGGCCTCCGGCTTGCAGGAAACACCAAGCACAGCCAGCCTCTCTCCCCCACCCGCCATCAGGCCAACCAGGCTACCACCCATGGCTACCGGCAAGTTCCTCCTGCTTGCCACCTTGGCCTTGACTCTCTCGGCTGTGCCTTCCTTGATGAGAGAGGCGGCCACCTCAAAATCATCCTGTAAGCCACAGATCCGATACCGCAAGCCTTCCCTGGACACCCTTCCGTGGCCAGGGTATTGGGTGCCCCTGATGATCATCCTCGGGGGCTGCTGTGGCCTGGCCTGGTGCATCCTCTACATGACCTACAACATCAGCCAAAGAAGAGAGGAGGAGTCGACGCAGCTTCCCAGCAAAGCGGAAGAGCCAGCCGTACCCTTGGTGAGCTTCTCCCTGGCAGCCTCAGATTCATCCACCATTAAGGTGGATTCAGACTTACAGTAGCCCCCAGTCCCTCCTCTTGGTGGCGCTCTGAGACGTGACACATGGCAGGGCACATAACCCGATCCAGTCACCCACTTGCTCTGGAGCCTCCCAGCTGACTCCTCTCCTA